TTTTTAGATGTTTCTTTTTGCTGAGACTGGCAGCCACCCTTCTGTTGTGGGTACTTAGTTGTGATCATTGCACCGGTGATGGTCTGTGGCCATTTTCATCCTGTCTGAGTTACACATTATAGGTTCACAGCAAAACAGGAGCTTGCACCAGAATATAGATCAAGGCACTGCTCCCGTCAGGAGAAAGGCTGCTGTGAAAAAGCTAGCTAAATTAAACAGTGTGTCTAAGTGGTAGTTTTATGTTGTCCCAGACTAACAAATGTTTAGTTTAGTTTTCCAGACTAACAAGATTTTTATCTTGTTCTAGACTAACAAATAATTTAACCAACGTGTTTCTGTGGGCTACAGTGTTTGCATATGCACGGCTCCATCTAACGTGACTTCTAGGCCTGTTTAACCGTTTTTCTCTAGAATAACTTCTGGGATACAACCAGGTTTTCCAGAGTTTGCTAAAAATACAGTAAAAAAAAATACAGCTTATACTGTGTATCTGAGGCACTCTCATTTTTTAATGAGTTTTCAATCAAGTAGCATTTTATAAGAATTATACGTTTATTCCCGTCCAAATTCTTCCTGCTCCTTATAATCCATCACCCCAAAGTAACAACCTGTTGGCTGTTCTGCTCATTGTTGGGTCATTTGCTCACATGGGCTCTGCAGCTATTGCTGTTTAAAAAACCCGAACTGAACCAAAAAACACCTGAAAATTCAGTAATATAAATGATCGCTTTTAAAAAAAAAAAAAAAAAGTAATTTTACAAGCCTGAGGTTCAGCTAGTCAGCTGTGCTGAACCTGGCTCATTTCTGCTCATCTTACTGTGCATGGCTTGCCCAGCACCTGCCGTCAGCTGGTAGGTGGCTGGGGGCAGATGAGTCCAGCAGGGAAGTGACCCAGCTCCCCACTGACATGCCTCTTCCCGGGAGGCCGGCTTGAGCTCTGTCTCATGACTACCACAGGTCCTGAGAGCTCTGTAAGAATCAGCGTAGAACAGAAAGAAGGGATCTGGAGGAGGGCAAAAACAACCATGGCAATGCCAGGGTAGTCTTCCAAATTCTTCAGAAAAAAATTTAACATGGCACTGAAAAATACTTTCCACAGAAGAACTCAACAGACCTTGTCCCCGGTGTGCGGATCAGCAGTTCTGGTGAATGTTATTTAACTGCCTAGCAATCTACCAATGCATGCTTCCACCTGGCTCACATTTTTCCATTGTGTTAAGGGTTCAGTGAAAAATTTTATAAAATCTGATGCTGCAATTAAGAAATCTGTAGTTTTCTGAGCATAAATAATCAGTTATCTATAATAGCAAAAAATTGGAAGTAATGCAGGGACGAACTTCATGGTGAATTATTTCATGATTTTGAAGTTTCGAGTATTGATGAAATGAGATAATACTCACAATTTAATTCTGATGACAAAGTGGTAAGATACACTGAGAGATACAACTGCAGGTGCCAGCTGCAGCCACACGCGTGAGCCGTGTTAGCCCAGCCCCGCCTTGAGATGACCCCAGCTTCAGACACAGGAAAGACCCCAAACAAGATCTGTACAGCTGACCTCAGTCATCCCATAGAACCAAGAGACTTAAGAATAAATTGTTTGAGCCTAGTAAATTTTTATTTTATAGTTTATTAAAACATTAATTTAAAAATAAAATTGGAACATTAACCATTGGTAGCTGGTACTGTTATGCTTGAAATGAAATTTGAAAATAGGTATAGAAACCAGAGGGTGACCTAAGACCTACATAGAGCCAGCCACCTGTTGAGCTGGATGGACTGATGGTGAGGAGAGCTTGTTACAGACCTCTCAGCAGCACATACCGACAGAACAAACCAAAGAAACCGAGGAAAAAATGAAAGGAAAACTCAGGATAACACTTCACGTCTGAAGCTGATGAGAAGCTGAGGAATGTGAATATTATTATCCTCATTCATTCGTTTTCCCGTGTTCCCCCCCCCCCCGCACGCTTCCTCCCATTTCCAAGTGGCTTCTGCGCCTCTCCACGCCGCCGCAGCAGGAGCCTGCTTAGTGCTCACAATCTCCCTGAGCTGTTCATAGTGTGTGACGTAGGAAGAGATGCTGCAGGTGTCCCCCATGGTGAGGCCTGGTGAGCAGTTCCTAAGGTGAGGGGTGACCGGGCCGAGGCCCCGTGTGCTGCCTCAGTCATCTGGGTTCTTCTGCGTGAGCGGAGTGGACCTGGCCTCTCTTTTAGGAAAGGTATATTTTGTATGTTTTTTTGAGCCATGAGAAAAAATGACATGTACATACAAACCTTTCTTATACTCAAGGACAAAGTTTAAGTGTTAAGAGTGGTTTACAATTCTGTTTTGTTTTCAGGTATTCCAAAGTTGATTACATCTGATATGGTGAAAGAAGGTGCCACTGTAATCGATGTGGGCATCAACTATGTCCATGACCCTGCGACAGGGAAGACAAAATTAGTTGGAGATGTGGACTTTGAAGGTAATAAACCAATTATCTTCTGATGAGTGAAGAAGAAAGATTCTGCCTTATGTATTTTGACAATAGAAAGAGAAACTTCCTATGGGATGGAGGCGTTGTTAAATTATTAATCATCACCTTTCCTCTGAAGGAAGAAAGTTTAATGAAATCTGCATATAAACTTTCTTCCTTTCTCCCTTCCTTCCTTCCCCTGAATTAGACCATTAATATTTGGTTTAGGGATCAAATTTCTTGTAGTCCACTCTCTGGTGATGGAATGCAGCTGGCCGTTTTTAGACCTGGGCATTATTTTGATTTGGGGGATTTATCTTACTTTGCACTTTGCCACCTGTGCTCAGCCATTCACGCCTAGAGCCAGACAGCATCTCGGGGGGGTTTGCAAACCCTAAGCCCGTTTCAGGTCTCCGTGGTTATCTTCACTCGTGTTTCGCAGAGGATATGGAAGAGGAGCGGGGCTAAAATGTTGGTAGCCAACAAAGGAAAGAAGGTGGCCAGTGTACTGTTATAAAATACTGAATTCTGACCCAGCGCCTTCTCTGCAGATGAGGAAACTGAG